AATAAGCATTTACACCATTTCGGAGCTCACATAGGTTGATGTGAAAAAGATCTGGTGGACACCTTCCTGGGAGCTGTTATGGACAGCAATATCATCCATCAGCGGAAAGGTCACATCCTCACTTTTGAGAGTTATCAGCACAAGCTTAAAGGTAAAAAAATGTCATTTCTCTTTAAGAGGAGACTACAGGTTATGGGAGCCCAGGGCTAAGAGCTAGGGGCGGGAAGGGAAGGGAGGAAATTAAAATGTGCAGAACAGGCCCAATTTGCCTTCTAGAAATATGCAAATATTTCTACTTAGCCGTATTAAACTTGAGATATAAATACTATAACTCTGTTACACAATTGTCAAATCCTTTCTAATTGCTGTGTTTAACACAGCAGCTGTAAAAAGGAGGAATTAAAAAACTGCACTTTCTCTTCTTGTACACAAGCCTTTTCCTGAAGTAGCAGTTGGAGTGTAGCCATTCAAGGCAAGAACATGAAAAACAGAGATTTCCTGCAATTCCCACTGGACTGCTCTGCCCATCAGCCCCTTTAGCAGTGCCGGTGGCAACACACACTCCTCTGAAGGGATACAAAAGAATGGAAACATCTGTGGAAACTGAATTTCTTCAAGCTCTGTGATCACTAATTAGCTGGTTGCAAGGCTGGCTGAAGACACCTGGCAACCCATTCCTCTGCACTGGAGGTAACAGCGGGCAACACTTGTGTTTTAAGCTGCCAGCATCGCCAGTTAGTGAGTTAATGCTGAGCACACACCAGAAAACTGCATTTGAAGACAACAACACCGTCTCAAAAGCAACTGAAAATGCCTATTTTTCTAGATGACAATACAGCCAAGCAAACTGAAACCACTGTTTTTAACCAACTGCATCTACGAGCCTTTTCCTGGAGAGCTCTCTCCACACACAGAACAGCCTGAACAGAAATAAACTAGTGTTCAGCACAGACAGCAATAAACTCACAAAACTAAATAGGCATAAGAGTAATAATTATTAACTAAAAGCACCAAAGAGGTGGAAAGTCATGCAGCAAAGATAAGAATATCAGATAGCAGCACGTTGCCTGCTGTCACGTGCTGCAGGGGGAATGTAAAAGAAATAAAGTGACCTGTGCACAAGGATGAGTAAAAGTGCAATTATTACAGGAAAATGTGAATGAGGTAGTTGCCCACAATGCAATACCTGGGGTGATCTACCCCATCTACAACAGCCTTAATAACATGCTTTGACTTGGTCAGCCCTGAAGCAGTCAGGCAGATGGACTAGATGATAGTTCTAGGTCTGGTCTATTCTATTCTATTCTATTCTATTCTATTCTATTCTATTCTATTCTATTCTATTCTACTTTATCCTATCCTACCCTATCCTACTTCTGCATAGGGTTCTCAAACCCTTCTAGAAGGATTTCTGCAGTACTTGCCAAGACAATAACTCCACTTAGACCTCTCCACATCCCTTCGTTTGGGCTGCCAGGAGGGAGGCTGGGACACCACGAGAGAAAGCCTGAGCATCTCCAGCAGCAACAAGGTTAAAGCCAATCCCTAAAAAATGTGAGCAAAACTGAACATACCAAGTCTAACACCAGAAAGTGCTGACTGCTGCCTGGCCTGTCAGTTGTTTACCTCCTCAATGTAGATTTCCAAGTCACTCAGACCTTGGGGTCATAAGTAGCACTGGAAATTCTATAATATACATTTATAATATATGATATTTCACAACATACAGTATTTTATAATATAGAGTTTAATAATAATAAGTATCATATATAAAGTATATGTTCTGAGGTTAAAATATGAGAGATCACCAATCATTTGAAAGACTCCATAAATCATTTACAGAATCTGACCGGGTATGGGGAGAGCACCTCATTATTTCGAAATAATTTAACTGTGACATTTGACTTTAGGAGACTTTCCTAACAAAAGTGAACTGAATTAGGAACCACTAAACATTTTAGTGCAGGTACCGAGTTATATCAGTCTTATTTGGAATGTACATAACTACCGCATGCTTGGGAAAACAGCATCAATAGCCTTTAAGACAGTGATTCTAATTTCACAAATAAATTCGTTTTTAGTAAAAGGTCTCTGGCTTTTATCAGGCTTTCTGTCACAAACCTGTCTTCACATCCCAGTGCTCTAACCTATTTCATCCATTCTGGTGTGGATCTCTTTTAATTTGTACTGGGGGAATTGTCTGTTTACGAATGACTGATTATTCTTTGGATGAACAAAACCAAAGTTTCTCACGTAGCAGGTAAGCACAATGAACACCAGGTGACAGGGCAAATCAGCTTCTCTCTCTGGACAAATTAAGAGTTATTTATTGATGTTTGGATAGTTTCAATGGCACTGAGAGATTGTGGTTTCCTGCTCCAAATCTACCAGGGCAAGAATTTAACCATACTTTATCCTGAAACTGTATTACTGGCTTTTCTGCATTTTTTGGGGTGAGAGAGTGATTCTAATTTTGGTGATAAAGAGAAAAAGATCCAAACTGAGTATAAAACACCTTTCCTTGGGAAAAGGGAATTGGTCTGTTTCCATGAATTGCTTTGATTTCAATTAATCCCTATTTTTCAATGGAAAATAATTTCATCAGAAATCTTGTGCTGGCCTGGCTGACCTCCTTCACCACCAGGCAACTCAGCAGATGCCCAGGATGCAAAAGAAGCTCAGCCCCTGATCCACACCCCAAACTCCAAGCCTCACGCAGATGAGATGTGAATCACAGAATCACAGAATGGCCAGGTGGGAACTCACAGCTGCCCAATGGAAAAGAATCAACTGCATTCACCAAACGAGCAGTTTTCTTCTGAAGAGCAGACACACAACTTCTAGGCAAAGCCCAGAGCCCAATGCCTGTCCCAACAGCAAAGGGCACCGCTCCAGCGGGAGGGCAGCGCTGGCACGAGGAACTGCGGAAGAGCAAGGCCCAGAGAGGATAAGGAGAAGACACTATTTTTCTCCTATGCTTTTCTAAAAACTGCACTGCCAGGACTGACAAACACAAAGATATGTCACTAAATATTAGTTTTAAAAACCTACACAATTTGGGACCGGACCGATTTAACCGTAATTATGGCTGCTGAAATTATCTGATGAACTTTCTATTTCCAATCGTCCTGCCCCTACTACTACCAGAGGACTTTCTGGAGCGAAGTGGGAGCGTGTTCCTGTGCTGGGTTCAGGGCAGGCCGGCAGGAGACCCTCCAGCACGGGATCTGCTCCTCCTGCAACTTGAGTTTTGCCAGGATTTTTAATGAGATGTGATGTGAGATGTGTCTCCTTGGTCAAGCACATACTATAATTACAGACCATCGCTGGGTTATTTAGAGTTCAAATTATACTGGAAAGGGGCTATTTATATTGTTTATCAGGAGCAGCAGATTTACTGTCTGTCTGTATTTTAACTATATAATGTGTCTAAATACCAAGGTGACAGACACACAACGTATCATTACATAAATATATTGAATTAATCCAAATTAAAAGTTCAGCAGATCTTGTAACACACTAGATACGGATTTGTTTATAAAGGTCTGACAAAAGTGCAGTATGATGGTTCATTACCACTCTAATTAATGAAAAGTAGATCCAGCAATATGCAACAGCCACCGCTATCACTTAATGCTCTGAAACGAGCTTTGCCAGCCATGGAGTTCAAGGGCCTGATTACAGATAATGGGCTTAAGCTTCCTGTTGGGAACTTGTTCATTCTGCAGCCTCGACAGAATTCGAACCTGTGGCATTTCCATCCTGCTGTGGCTCGACCAGAGGTAAAACAGAAGCAGCTGCAGGGAAACTGCTGAGGGACACGCTGAGATACATGGAATGACCCCCAGGAAGCCTGGTTGCCCTGGAGAAATGCTCTGTGCTCCCTGCCAGGCTTCACAGGGAGGGGATCCCAGCGGGCAGATGTCCCCTCTCACAGCAGGGACCTTCAGGGGAGCTCGGCTCCCCCTAAGACAGAGGCAGACACAGATTTTCCCGGGGGAATGGGAGCACCCAGCAGGTAGGAGATGCTCTGCCTTGTTTTCTACATGTCTGTACAGTATAACACAGTATAATACAGCAAAACCCAGCATAACACAGCAACATTGCCCTACCGTGCTAACAGCCAGGACCGATATCCCTGGGAAATGTAGGATTTGCAGGAGTAAGCACATCTTCAAGTGCATTCAAAGTACCTGGGATGGCCTGTTGGAAGCCCTTTACAAAAGCTCATACACAAGCAGAGAAAACAAGGAGGAGGTAGGTAACTCCCCACACAGAACACAATACAAGTCAAGGCTTAATACAGCACTATTATTCCCATTTTCACATAAATAAACAAGGGTACGGAACTGTCAAATAATTTGATAGATATCGTTACTAACCCATTAGCAGCCAGAGCTGCTCAATGAACTAATTTGTCAGGGCAGTGACTAATGTCAGCCCAGAGCTTTGGCCCTGAACAATTTTTTTCTGGTTATTAGCTTATTAATGGAAAAACATAAGAGCTGGCTGAATGTGACCCTTCAGGCAATCCTCAAATTTATTATTTCTAGCTCTTAGGCCATTCCCGTATGTGATGTGTGTTTGATCACAAAAATAAGCAGAGAACAGATCTGCTGGAGATACAGAGCAAATCTAATTAATAGTAAACAGACTAAGCCTGCTAAAATATTACTGTTCCATTGTAACAACAAGCAGGAAGAACAACTGAATGGTTGAGTAAGTAAATAATTAAACAAACACATGAGAAGTAATGGGTGTGAAACAGGTCTCTTAAGGAGACCTCAGCACTGAGTGCCCAGAGCTCCCCCCGAAGCCATCCCTTCCCCAGCCCCAACAAGCCCAGGTCCCTCAGCCCTGGGCAGGAGACACGAGACACACAGCTATTCTGGGTAAACAAAGTCCGATTCCACTGGTTTTCATTCAGAAGCAAAACAGAAGGGCGAGGTTTGTTTTTTTTTTTTTTAAATCTTAAAAGAAAGCAGAGCTGGGACACTCACCTATCACACAGAAGGGTTTCCTCGCAAAGCGCAGCCGTCCTTGCCATCCTCGGTACCGACAGCAGCATCCAGCAGACCAGATACGAATAATAAACTCCAAACCAAAGACAACAATCATGACAAATTCCTAGGGACGGAAAATAAGAAAAACGCCTGTTACAGATAACCAGCACCGAAGCATCAGGAAACTCATGAGCATTGCACGTGGCAACAGCTTCACCATGAGCACCTGAAGACCCCAAGCCAAAGTGGGGACCCCGTTCCCCAGGATGGTTGCCCACCTACACACAAATCACTTTCCCCAGAGCTTCCTGGGGAAGGGTCCAAATCTCACCTGAATAATAACATTAAATAGCTGCTAAGATTGGCTCCTAACTATGAAACACTGAAGGGCTGGATCGTACTCAAAAAATACCAAAGAAAAATACTCAATGACTTTGGACATTGAGGGTGAGAGCGCAGGTACCTTAGACACCTAGTGAAGAATATTTGTTAAATATCCGCAATTAGGAAATCAGTTTGTTCCCAGAAGCAGGTTAAGATAAACGTAAGTGTAATTACATACGAGGGGTCTGGAATTGTTTGTACGACAGTAAATGAACATTCACACCAGGCATAGCTGTCCCTGGACAACTGGGTAAGGAAAACATTTAGAAGTCTTGCATTGTTTGTCTGGCTGGCTTTCCTTTCACACTGGAACCTCATAGCCTGTCCATTTCAATAGCATCGACCTTGCATAAAAAAATATGTAATTTTTATTGGAAGAAAATTTTCAACACAAGAGTGAGGTCAGCAGAGTGTCAGCAATGGAGCAGGGAGCACAGTCCAGCTCCGCTCCTTCGGGAAATGGGAATCCCTACAACACGCAGGGATTAGTATGTACACACTGCTATGGAACTGGAAACTTCACTTGGATACTCTCCTGGAATGCCATCATAAAGCTCTGGGGTTTGAAATGATAAAGTAAAAATCCATGTGTTAACCAAAAGAAGGAGAAAAGCACTTGAAGGACCTTCTTAAGCTGCTCATCAAGAAGAGGGTGAAAGTTGTATTTTCTTTGGCAACCGAATGTATTTCCACATCCAGCAGAAAGCTGTTCCTTGTCAGCCAATTTATCTGTTATTCCTACAGGATGAGGATCAGTATGGTGCTGGGAAGAACACACTGCGAATGAATCAAATAGAGAAATATTTGCAAGGGGAAGTTTGATCCAATACTGACTTTTTCCCAACAAAAACCCTGCAAGTTTTCAGACAGTGAGACCCTACAACTTCGCAAGCCAATAAAGCAGTAAATATCACATATGTCAACTCAGGCACTAATTTGCCTGAACAAGTGGCACTGTTAGTGTGTCATGTCATGGTGTTTTACCAGCTTAGGATTACTGGCAGTACCTTCAAACACTGGGAATTTAATTTGCTTCTGTTGCCATAGAACAATTGGAAAATGTAGTATTCCTTCCTAAAACATGTCAGCTTGTAGAACTACATCACACTGAAAGAGTTTTCAGAACCTTCTTCAGAGCCTTCCTTTCCAGTTTTGTAAATTCCATATTGAATTCCTAAATCACAACAGCAGAATGAGATCCCTCTGATAAAACTCGGCTAAAGAAAACATCACATTTTTTTGTTAGAGAAGAACACATGGAAAAATGAGTGATTGTTAAAGTTTTTCTTTTTACTCACTCTGCTGCAAGACACTTCAACTTAATTCTGTGGACAGAGCTATTGCACAACTTTAGAAAGGATTATGTGCAAAATTGAAAAAAGTTGTCCATATAGTAACAATAATTCTTAATAGCTGGCTGCCACGTGGTACATTGCCTTGTAGGAAACTCTGGGCAGGCCAAGAATAAAACGGACGAGAAGCCAACTGGAAAAAAAGGAATAATATGTATTTTGGTTATTTCACTGACACTTTTATAGTGGTAGTAAAATCATGCATTGTCAGATCTGGTTTACACATCGTTAGATAATGTCTCTGAATTTGTGGCAGGTGTCCAGGCCATCTGACATCGGATTCTCCTGAAAAAGTTTCTTCTTTGGGGCAGGGATAAGAGATGCCGAAGGAGAGGGGCCCGGCAAAGCATGAAACATTCTTTGCTTCCAGAAAAATCTTTTCCTTCTTAAAATCCTTTCCTTCTAATCGCATTTCATTTGACTGAAGTTTCTCATTTCCCTGGCAAACACACTGTGGGTACAGATGCAGGAGAAACACATACACGTGCTCCATGGAGATATATCTATTCTGAGTGAGAAAAAGAGCAACGGGGCAAGAGTGTAAGGTTTTTCTTGGAGAAAGAACGTGACATTTCTTTGTTCTTTCCTGGGGAAAAGTAGTTACCATTTCTAGTGACATTCTTAATAGCTGGCTGCCACGTGGTGCATTGCCTTGTAGGAAACTCTGGGCAGGCCAAGAATAAAACGGACAAGAAGCCAACTGGAAAAAAAGGAATAATATGTATTTTGGTTATTTCACTGACACTTTTATAGTGGTAGTAAAATCATGCATTGTCAGATCTGGTTTACACATCGTTAGATAATGTCTCTGAATTTGTGGCAGGTGTCCAGGCCATCTGACATCGGATTCTCCTGAAAAAGTTTCTTCTTTGGGGCAGGGATAAGAGATGCCGAAGGAGAGGGGCCCGGCAAAGCATGAAACATTCTTTGCTTCCAGAAAAATCTTTTCCTTCTTAAAATCCTTTCCTTCTAATCGCATTTCATTTGACTGAAGTTTCTCATTTCCCTGGCAAACACACTGTGGGTACAGATGCAGGAGAAACACATACACGTGCTCCATGGAGATATATCTATTCTGAGTGAGAAAAAGAGCAAAAGGATGTTGCTCAATTTTTTTTTTCTTTTTTTTTGGAGGACAGGGCAAGAATGTAAGGTTTTTCTTGGAGAAAGAATGTGACATTTCTTTGTTCCTTCCTTGGGAAAAGTAGTTACCATTTCTAGTGACATTAGGACTTTATGCATAGTGATAGTCCCTCAAAAGTTTGTACTGCTACAATAACCACGGCTACAGTTACAGCAAGTGAGCTCAGATACAGCAAATACGTCTCTCTGCACTGGGATGCTAGAAGAATGACTGATTTTAAAAATACTGTATATGATTTTCTTGAGATGTACCAAATTTCTGGAGGTTTTAGTACAGTATGAGCTCTAATAACAGAAAAGACACTGAAAAAAGTGGAGATAGGGTTTCAGGCTTATTTCTGCACGTTCTGAAATAGTGATGTTTGAAAACAATCCTTATATCCTGGTCACTCCTGGTCCACTCAAAGAACAGCTGATTTTGAAGGGAATACACATCATCATGAATAAAGTCTAAAGGGAAAGGATTTTCCTAGAAACTGTGAATTCATTGAAACAGAAACTCTTCACAGCAGTATATATGAGAGTTTTGCTGTATTTCGGATTGGTCCAGGTTGACACCAGAGAGAAACAAAGAATCCCACCCCACCGTGGAAAAAGTAATGTTTTAGTAATCAGTGCCCTCAGTCACGGAGTAAAGTCACATCTCTGTCAAGGTTAATGCAGGCCAGGGAACGACATTATTTTTTCCTGTGACAGCTGCACAGTCATGAGCTGCTCGGTTTTCCGTGGACAAAAATTGGAAGGATGCATCCCAAACAAGATCAGGATTTTTTTAAAAAAAAATTTCATTTGGAATGGCTTATTACAAAATTAAGCATAAATCTAGGCTTTTAAATAACTTGGTTTTAGTTCCCCGGCAACCAAAGCAGAAAATCAGGACCTGGGTTTTATGGCACAAGGAGCACAGGTACCAGTGCTAGCCTGAAGGTTTTTCACACCTGCACATCCCTCGGTGGCTCTGCCACCAGACCAACGGGAGTCACACAAATGGCACAAAAGGGAAATAAGAGGTGGCCCCAAGCAAGGCGTCCATTAACAGACAGTCCTGGAGGAGTCTAATGAACAGGGCTGATAATTAACTAAATCAAGCATACTTTGTACAATCCAACTATGATAAGCACTGGTTTTCTCCCTTTGTTCGCCCTATCTAATTAGGGTACAAGTGATGATTTGTTGAAATTGTCTCCACTAACATGCTTCTCAGGTAGCTTTTAATGATAGGGGTTTCCCAAAGCAAAATGTTATAACAGCAAAAAAACTGTTTTTCTCATAGCTTTCTTATTCATTAACAGAATTGCTTATTAAAACTTAAAATAATTTGCTGCTGCTGAAATCAGGTGCCGTGGCTGTAGCCCATACTTCCTGGGAATTAGAAGCATTTTTGAGAGGAGAAAAGGACCAGAGCTGAGCACTCTGTGCTGCCCTTCCAGGATGCTCCCAGTCACTTTGCCACTCGTGAGCGAGCTGAGGGTTGGATATGAGAAATCCACCCACAAGACAATGGCCCTGCTGTTATTTTGACTGTATTTCTTGAATGGAAATGGTGGTGTTTAGCATTCTAAAGGCTAACAGAGCAGGAGACCAGGGCTGCAGAGTGACGTAAGGAGCTGCCTGCTCTCAGCTCAAGGGAGAACTGGGGCTACAAGTGGCATCGTCAGACGCCCAGGAAATGGACTAGAAGAAATCAAATTAATCCCCTGAAATAAGCTTTAATAAGGCCACCAGTGTGCTCCTACTGAAGACAACGTCTCTGCAGCGCAGCAGATGGTCATCTGGTGTAAATCACTGCCCCAGTACAGCAGCAGGACTAGGAGGAGCAATGTCATCTAACAGAGCTTGGGAAGTGCCCCCTCTTCCCTAAAAACTCCTGAACAGGGAAGTCCAGTGTTTCCAAATCAGTTGGAAAAGAGGAAGAATAAATGTGTTCTCATGCTTTAATTTACGGCTGACTGGTTTCAGAATGCCACCAGCTGCTAAAATCTCTTTATGGTGGCACACGATGATGAGTTGATACTATTCAAATAGCAATGCTGTATTATTTATCGACAAAGAGGATCACATTGTTTCCTCATTCAATTAAAGAAGGAACATAACAACTCAACTCCTGCACCCCTCTCTCAAGCAGAAAACCCCCCAAATCTCTACTGATTCGAAGTGCTGAGCACCAGCACTGGGCTCTGCACTTTAACCAGCCACTGTGGGGATGTGAGGGAAGCACAACACCAGTCTGCCTCCGAGAAACCTG